TTGATTGATTATATAAGGGAATGTTTTGAAAATAGAGGACAAACTGTTTGTTATTTAAGAAAAAATGATTTTGGAAAAAAACGGAAGACCATGAAAAAATATTATTTAATAATCCACGCCTATCGGAGTCCTTGAAAAAATATTATTTAATAATCCACGCCTATCGGAGTCCTTGAAAAAATATTATTTAATAATCCACGCCTATCGGAGTCCTTGAAAAAATATTATTTAATAATCCACGCCTATCGGAGTCCTTGAAAAAATATTATTTAATAATCCACGCCTATCGGAGTCCTTGAAAAAATATTATTTAATAATCCACGCCTATCGGAGTCCTTGAAAAAATATTATTTAATAATCCACGCCTATCGGAGTCCTTGAAAAAATATTATTTAATAATCCACGCCTATCGGAGTCCTTGAAAAAATATTATTTAATAATCCACGCCTATCGGAGTCCTTGAAAAAATATTATTTAATAATCCACGCCTATCGGAGTCCTTGAAAAAATATTATTTAATAATCCACGCCTATCGGAGTCCTTGAAAAAATATTATTTAATAATCCACGCCTATCGGAGTCCTTGAAAAAATATTATTTAATAATCCACGCCTATCGGAGTCCTTGAAAAAATATTATTTAATAATCCACGCCTATCGGAGTCCTTGAAAAAATATTATTTAATAATCCACGCCTATCGGAGTCCTTGAAAAAATATTATTTAATAATCCACGCCTATCGGAGTCCTTGAAAAAATATTATTTAATAATCCACGCCTATCGGAGTCCTTGAAAAAATATTATTTAATAATCCACGCCTATCGGAGTCCTTGAAAAAATATTATTTAATAATCCACGCCTATCGGAGTCCTTGAAAAAATATTATTTAATAATCCACGCCTATCGGAGTCCTTGAAAAAATATTATTTAATAATCCACGCCTATCGGAGTCCTTGAAAAAATATTATTTAATAATCCACGCCTATCGGAGTCCTTGAAAAAATAATATTTAATAATCCACGCCTATCGGAGTCCTTGAAAAAATATTATTTAATAATCCACGCCTATCGGAGTCCTTGAAAAAATATTATTTAATAATCCACGCCTATCGGAGTCCTTGAAAAAATATTATTTAATAATCCACGCCTATCGGAGTCCTTGAAAAAATATTATTTAATAATCCACGCCTATCGGAGTCCTTGAAAAAATATTATTTAATAATCCACGCATATCGGAGTCCTTGAAAAAATATTATTTAATAATCCACGCCTATCGGAGTCCTTGAAAAAATATTATTTAATAATCCACGCCTATCGGAGTCCTTGAAAAAATATTATTTAATAATCCACGCCTATCGGAGTCCTTGAAAAAATATTATTTAATAATCCACGCCTATCGGAGTCCTTGAAAAAATATTATTTAATAATCCACGCCTATCGGAGTCCTTGAAAAAATATTATTTAATAATCCACGCCTATCGGAGTCCTTGAAAAAATATTATTTAATAATCCAAAAATATTCCTTAAAATCCACGCCTCTTTGACTGATAGTCTTTGAAAAAATATTCCTTAAAAATCCACGCCTCTTTGGCTGATAGTCTTTGAAAAAATATTCCTTAAAAATCCACGCCTCTTTGGCTGATAGTCTTTGAAAAAATATTCCTTAAAAATCCACGCCTCTTTGGCTGATAGTCTTTGAAAAAATATTCCTTAAAAATCCACGCCTCTTTGGCTGATAGTCCTTGAAAAAATATTCCGTAAAAGTTCACGCCACTTTGGTTGATAGTCCTTGAAAAAATATTTTTTTTAAAATCCACGCCTTTTTGGCTGTTAGTCCTTGAAAAAATATTTTTTATTTTTTTTTTTGTAAATCCACGCCTATTTGGCTGAGAGTCCTTAAAAATATTTTTTAAAAATCCACCACTTTTTGGGATAGTCCTTGAAAAAAATATTATTAAAAAATCCACTACTTTAGTCCTTAAAAATATTAAAGAAATCCAAGCCTATTCTAGCCTTTGAAAAATTAGTTTTCTCAAAATCCACGCCTGTTCTTGTCGCTAACAGATTGACCCTGAAAAAAAATATATTTTTTTAATAAACATTTAAATCCTTTCCTTTATATTTTTCTTAAAATTATTCTAATGCATTTAAATTGTTATTTAAAAATAGTAATAATAATAAAGAAGCGCGTTAAGTAGCTAACATTCGAATGACCTCGACCGCATTATTATAATTTTCAGATACATTTCGATGTTACTTTTTTGGGTTGCCACACAAAAAACGGACGCACACTCACTACTGACACACACACACACAAATATATTTACAATTCTATTCATTATTTTATTAGAGTTCAGTTCATTTTCCATTTTTTGTTTTTGATGATGCTGATCTCGGTGGTCTACAAATTAAATTGCCATGTAATTAACTAATCTAAGAGTTAGAGATGAAGGTGAAACCTTTCTTTGAAGTAGCTTCGCAAAAAGGAGGGAAAACAAACAAACACACACACAAAACGAATACAACTATTTCTCTTGTACGAACTTAAAATAAGTTGAGAAAACTTTGAACTTTTCACCTCTCTAAACTAAATTATCCATAAACAAACGGTTTGGTTGTTCGGGGTTTGTGTTTTTATCAGTTGTTAGGCATGATGATGATGATGAGGGACGAAAGGTGGAATATGAAGACGAGGAAGAACATAAATAAGAAAAGAGGTAATTAACATTTTCGAATTGTGTATTTTGCAGAAAAAAGGCGGCGGTGGTGGTGGCGGAGCTGGTGATAAAGGAGGTGCTAAAAATAAGGGAGGTGGAGGCGGCGGCGATAAAGGTGGTGGCAAAAAAGGTCAAGACCAAAAGGCAGGCGGTGGAGGTGGTGGTGGCAAAAAAGGCGGCAAGAAATAGCAGTAGTACAACATGGACTATATATTTTAATTTGCTATTCTGTTTTCTTTTCTTTTTTAATTTAATTGGTATTATAATTTCTAATTAATGCGTGTATTATTGTGATTTTTGAATAATTCTTTTAATTTAGAATAAAAAATTATTTTTTATATAAATGTAAATAAAAATAATTCAAAAGGAAAAATATATGGGTGATTATTCAATTCAATTTATTTCATAAACAAGAACCTAGCCCAAAGGGCCATGAGCGATTCCAAAAACTTCATTACATGGACAACTCCAATTATTATTTGGAATCGTAACAAAAAAAAAACAGTTTAGAGGAACTGTATTTTTTTCCTGTGGTCCGGTAATTTTCCTTTCTTCCATCGTCATGTGGTCTGGCGATTTTTTTCTATAGAAAAAGCCCGTGTTTTGGTCTGTTTTTTCTATAGAAATAAATAATGGCGGTCGTTGTTTTTTTTATAGAAAAAAAAAAAAATAGAGTACTGTGGATTTTGTTCTATAAAAAAGGCCGTCCTTTCTATAAAAAAAAAACTGTCCCCTGGTCCGGAGATTTTTTTTCACTAGAAAAAATCCCGTCCTTATGATAGGTAATTTTTGTCTGTAGAGAAAAAACTGTCCGGTGCATTTTTATACCCTCTACATAGTATGGAGGGTATATTCATTTTGTTTTTCCGTTTGTAACTCATCGAAATAATCATTTCCGATCCCATAAAGTATATATATTTTTGATCAGCGTAAAATTCTCTGACGATCTATGCATGTATGTCTGGCTGATGTAATCACTTTAGCCTCTAAACGAATTGAGAAAGATCGCCAAAATTTTTCATAGAGTCGTATTTTATATGCAGGCAGGTCAAGTTCGAAGATGGGCTATATCGGTCTACTTTTAGGCATAGCTCCCATATAAGGGTACCCACCAATTTTCGGTATTTTGGGTTCCTTTAGCGCATTTTTTCAACCGAATTCGCTGAAATTTGGTACAATGGGTTATTATTGGGTACCAAAAATTTTCACTAAAAATTATAAATATAGGTCCACTTTTTCTGGTAGCCCCCATATAATACACCAAATTTTCGATATTTTGGGGGTTTTTATCGTATTTTTAAACCGAATTGGCTGTAATTCACTACTTTTAGTTCTTATTGGGTAGCAAATCTCTCCACTAAAAATTATAAATATAGGTCAATTTTTTCGAGTAGCCCCCATATATGGGTACCCCCTAATTTTCGGTTTCTTAAGCACGTTTTTCAACGGAATTTAATACTTTGGGTTCTTATTGGATACCAAATTTCTCCACTAAAAATTATAAATATAGGTCATTATTTTTCGGTTAGCCCCCATATAAGGGTACCCTCAATTTTTGGTATTTTAGGGTTCTTGAGCGCATTTTTCAACCGAATTCTCTTTAATTTGGGTTTCTATAGTCGTATATGGTATCAAATCTCCCTCCCAAAAATATTTACATTTGCCTTCTTTTAAGGTTAGTCCCCATATAACTCCCTTTTTTGTACTAAAATAGTTATCTGATTTGTTCCGCGTATTGGGTTTGGTTCTAAGACTCTGTTGTAATGATTTCACCTGCGGAGGATATCGATATCGAAAAACTAGAACGTAAGGTTCGCCCCCTTTTGACGATATCTACCGATATTCGGTATTTTTGATATTTGTTTCGAAATTGAGTTATATAGTCCTTAATTAGGCATAGCTCCTCATATTATGATAACTACTCGTACAAGTGTTCGGTTACTCCTACACGATGTAATCAATATTGCTTCCGTTTTAGGTATAGCCTCCAGGGACGTACTCACACAATTTCTGCAATGAATGTCGGAAAATATTGAAGCAGCAGCTTCTAATTGCAGCATTTTGTGGATATTCTGCCCTACCTTGCGCCGCCAACACCAGTCAACTTTTTGGAGTTTTAGGAAACATCTCCATATTAATAGTTACGCCTAAATTTTTACGTCTACAGAGGTTTTCTATTTTCAATAAGTATATTTATATTCTTTGAATACTTTGAGTAAATAATAATAATAATAAAATAGCTATTAATCTATTATTTTTTTTTAATATAATAAAATTAGATTTGTTGACTATCGGAACCATTCTTGTGACATGGCACCAAAGAATGATGCTGCTCCAGATTTACTCTTAGTATCGCTTTTTCTTGACGAGGATGGAGCTGTTGAGCTGGTAGCTTTACGTGTTGGTGTGGTCTGGAAATTTTAGAATAAAAAAATAAATGAATTAATCTTATAGTAATTGAATGAAAAGCTTAGGGGTTTATATTTATGAACTAGGTGAGTGGCAGAAAAATAATAAAAAAAAATCTCAATCTTCCAAATTTTCTAGAGCCAAAATATGTTATTTTGCGATAACGCATGTCTTAAATTTATGTTATTCTAATTTTTAGATATCAATAACATAATTAAAAAATAAATATTCACAAGTTAGTATTGCATGGATTTCTAGACTAATTCAATCCTTTAACTATTTAACAACAACCAGAAGCAATTTTTAATTTTTCCATAAAAACAAATCTTTTTGGATTTTTCCTTAGAAGTCTCATTGAATTAGTTGCATGCAAAAACTTTCAAAAGCCACAACAAACGAAAAACCAAAAATTATCTAAACACATCGCATGCATAATATAAATATTTACTTATAAAAATAACGTCTCTCCCCATGTAAACCATAACATTGTGTTGAAATATATTTAAAAAGAACACATAATTTATAATTCATATAAAATATCCTTTAAAAAAGAACGTTGTGAAATATAAAAATAAAATTATTATCAAATAAATCGAAAGACAAGAAAAAGAAAAACAAAATGTTGTCAACCCTTACCTTTTCACTTTCCGAAGTTAAGACAAGTTTCTTGGTTTCCACAGCTGTTGCAACATTGGTATTGGTAACTACTGGCAGCAGGGGGAACCACAATGTTGTGGCACCACTTGAACACAAACTTAAAACATTGGGATCTTTTTCTGGTACAATAACAGTACTCGCCACAGAAATATTGCTTTGATTTGTGGCTGTCGTTGTTGTTAGTACACCCAGTATACAATTGTAACGTGTTACGGCCCGCTTAACATTGGCCACCAGCTGGGTAGATAACAATTCAAAATCGAAAGGATCAATTAAATCTCTATAGGCATCCTGTAGTGATGTAAATTGATCTTTCTGCTCCCGACTTAAATCGAAAGAGTGTTGTAAAAATTTCAAATCAAAATACATTTGTAAGGCAATATTTTGTCCCATTGGTGTGGTGGTGTTGTTTGTCTTTTCTATAAGATTTTTGTAGTGTTGCAAGAGATTTTCCAATAACACTTTCTTTAAAGTTAACAGCACTTTGTTGGGTAAAGTTTCAGGCACTATTTTCTTTAGAGCTGTTATTAACGTGTGGAAATATGATTGTAAGGAGATGCGAGGTTGTGTGGGTACACGGAATGTTGTTTGAGTGGGCATATCTTGTTCGTCTTTTTGCTCCAAGGTTATTATTTCCCAGTGCTGTAATTAAAAACAAAAATATGAAAACAATTTATTTGATATTACCTACCCATATAGAAATATAGAAAAAAACGGTCCTTGGATGTATGAATTTTTTTCAATAAAAAAAAAAAAAACAGATAGTTCTGGGGATCATACTTACCGCAAAATCTTCCAAAATAACCGCATTCGAGTTTACTTCCATTAAATAACGATCACTATTATATTCCACCAATACACCACGAACAAGACATAGCCACAATTGAAATACTTCATCTTCGATTAAACCACAAATACGTTGCCAATGTTCTTGGGAAGCGGCCGAGGCTGCAGTCGTAGTACCACCCAATTGTTCACGCCATAAACTTGAATGACAAAAACATTTCTTCAAATGGGGACAAAGCTCAATTAAGGAACAACAACAGCGAATAACAAATAATAGTTGCTGACGTTGAGACGATTCCAATCGTAATTGCTTTGTTTTCGTTATATATTCTGTAATTTGTCGTTGCGCGGTTTCTTTAAGGAAGTCGACCAAATCCTGTTTATCTTCCTGTTTTGTTGTGGGCTCTTCCAGTAGCACATTCATTTCTTTAATTATTGATGACAGGCTGTTATCAAATTGTGTGGCCATTTGTATTATGTTATCATCATAACCCTTTGATTTCATCAACAGCTTTTTAGTTTTCTTATCTTCGGATAAAGCTTGATCTAAGCTATTTGGTAAATCTGTGCTATATTCTTGCCACAGACTGTAATTTGATTTATTCATCAACCCCTCTTGTTGTAATGTACCTTCAATTGTTGCAAATGTTTCGTGAATTGCTTTAGACCAACTATCATTGATGATATTACGTATACGTTGATTAATCAAGGGAACATAACGTAGCTCATAAAAATCCAAGGAATGTGTTAAATTATATTGCTTTGCCAAGTTTGATAAATTCAATTGCTTTCTCAAGTGATTTGCTTCGGTTTTAATTTCCTGTATGGTATTCATATTTAAGACAAAATCGAAAAGGCCTTTCAATTGCTTATCTGCTATTCGTTGAGTATCGGCAAGAAATGTTTCTACGGCCTGGGCCACTGATTCATTTTTTAATGTGATTGTTTCAAATTTCGGCTTAAAATTGGTTATAATATCGGGTAGTAAATATGCAAATTGTACATCATCACTGTCCATGCGTGCAATGGTGGGTGGTGCACTTGGATCCGAGTGTTCGTGGAGTTTTTTAAACAACAATCCATTTTCTGTAGAAGCAAATAAAACGATTTAAAATGTTTCTAAAAAATATAAAATAATTCACCTTACCCATAAAACACTTCGAGACCATATCCACACTTTCATTTAGGACCCTTAAGCTAACAAGTATACGTTCCTTCACTCTACCACCCTCGGAGGTTAGACAATTTAGAAATGCCGAGGACCGTAAATTAAGAAACACCTTCAGAGCACTTTCCAATGAACAACGATCCAATTGTAATAATGCCAATAGACAATCCGCAGTTAATTCCGGTGCTAAATTTTCCCTTTCCAATGCAACCATAATTTGTTGTTTAATAGTCATGTGAAATGGTTTCAAAATTTCCCATTGTTTCTTGGCAACGGGTAATTTTTGCATTATTGGATTACTCGAATCCAATTGAAGGCCCGTACTTATGTGACGACTAAATATAAACAATTCCGTTGCAGCATAATAATGTTCACGATCAATTTGTGACCAAATCATTTCGGGCAAAGAAGTCAACAATTTGATCTGTACCATGGTACTGAAATAATTGTTCAGTTGTTTATTAGCATTTTTAGATTTCAATTCACCGGCACTGTCGGTTTCGGTCTTGAAACCCAACAATTGTTGTTCATTGAGATTTTGACAATTAACACTTATTTTTTCGACTTGTTCTATCAATGCCTTGGTGGAGTCTTGCATGGAGGTAATGGTATCGGCAGCTTTTAGCAAATCTCGATAACGTTCTCTGTAATGAAGAAATCATTGCATGGAAACATTTGGATGTAAATGATCTGATTTGCAACAACTTACCCAACCATAGTCCTCAACTCCTCCCTTTTGTTTTCGACCACCTCTTGTATCTTCTTGTGTATTGTATCAATTTCACCCACACTGTGCTGTTCAAACAGCGTATCGACATTTAAATTTAATAGATTTAATGTAGCCATTGTTTATTAAATAGTATTTTTATTTTTATTTTACTTTTTTCGTTAAATTATTGTTCGATTAAACAAATTTTGTTTTGTTTCTGACACGTACAAGAACAAAAACAGCTGTTTTACAGAGTTGTCTCATTCAGTAATGAGCGTGTTCAAAAGAGTTATTCACGGAAATGAACCATTGAAACTAAAGGACGCTATTGCCTTAATTCATTGTTAAATTATTTGGCGGCAAAATAATGCATATTTTCAAACATTTCTATAAAAAAATATAAGTTAAATATAAAATTCTGAAGAACATCTTGGCCCAGACTGTCCGGAAAACCAAGGTCAATGAAAATTCTAAACTGTTTTTTGTTTTTCAAACTTAACTGGTACTGGAAACCATCTCAAACGAGAAATTCTGCAATGGACAGAGTGGTTCAATTGAAATTCTTGGCCCCAAATCCAAGCTTCTGTTGTGATTTTTCCCGTCCCTTTTTCCCGTCACTCATAGTGTACCTTGAAATCTCCTATGCACATTTAACGTGGATGTAACATATATTGATCGGTGGTGCAGAAATTATAGGCCATGGACCTTATTAATAGATATTGTCATGATCTATTAATAAGGTCACCAAAATAGCAATCGAAATCGGAAAACAGCTGTTTTTTCTCAAGTCTAATGTCAAAAATTTCAACTTTGTTTACGTTTTCATAATGGAAGTCAATTCACAATAATGCATTTTGACAGCAAACTTGAGAGATATCGATAATCAGCTGGTCTCCCTTGGTGACCATGGATATTGTCAAGTTTATTGCAAAAATTAATCAAAATCGACTTACAGATCCCTAACTTGATTTTGTGCTAAGTTTGTTTGCTGCTCTTTCGGAGGAAAGGTGTCAATGTTGTTTGTGTTGTGGTGTTGTATTGAAGCTATTTAGTAGTTGATGAATAAAGCCAGATATATTTAAAAAAGCTGTTTTATGATAAGATAAAGGGCGATATTAAGTATGAAAATCGGTGTCACTTGTATGTTTGAATCATAAACAAATAATTAATTTCACTTCCATTTGTTTTTTATGTGCATATGTGGGTCGTTCGTCCATTCGTCGGTTGGTTATTTGGTGTAATTGCAGCATAAAACAAAATGGATCACGAATTCCAGATGAGTGTGACCAAAGCGTTGCACCCCTCGGAGCAACCGTTAAAAATGAAACATGCCCGTTCGGTGATTATTGCAACACATCGACACAAAGGTGCAAAAATGTTCTGGAACATTGTTACGCGCCAGCCGTTAATGGAGCACCGTTTTACTGCATGGAAATTTTGCCATGTACTGCATAAGGTGTTGCGGGAGGGTCATGAGAATTGCTTACGCCATTCGCAGGTACACAAAACTCTGATATTGGAGGTGGGCAAGTTGTGGGGCCATTTGCAAGATGGTGTTGGCAAATGCATTGAAAGCTACACCCAGCTGTTGGTTAACAAATTGGATTTCCATCAAAAGAATTTGGGTATACCCGGTGCCATAACAATGGATTTCAATGACATACGCAAGATCACTGGCGATGATTTGAATAACTATTTTCAATTGTGTGTTGAAATATTCGATTATTTGGATTGTATTATTGCCCTGCAGCTGGTTATATTCCAGGCCTTGAATACATATCGTTTGTCGTCGATGACACCCCAGGGCCAGTGTCGTTTGGCGCCACTTGTTACCATGATACAGGATTCGAATCCTTTGTATGATTTGTGTGTTCGTGTACTGTTTCGTTTACACGATGGCATACCGCATGACATATTGGCGGGTCATCGTACACGTTTTAATGAGTTGTTTGTTAAATTGAAACTGTTCTATGAGAGTGTACGTCCGTTACAATATTTTTCGGATATAATACAAGTACCCCACCTACCAGATGCTGCACCAAATTTCTCCTCTGTGCATGATGTGGGAAATTATATTGCACCAGTTATGCATGTTTTCCAACAGCAGGAAGAGGAGGAGATACCCACGGTGGAGGAGAGTCTATTGGATTTGTCCAATGCAAGTGAAAATAATGCCTCCTCATCACCCACGGAACCAGTGCCTCAACCATCAGCAGCCGAGGAGCAACTCGAAGAAGCCCAAATCATGATTACCAATTTGCAGGAAGAGTTAAGAGTTCGACAAATTCACATTGACCAACTGGTTAATATTACTCGAGAAATGTCTAATCTTCAGGTACGCAATGAGGCCTTGGAAGCCGAGGTAAATTTAACCAAGGAAATGCTGAGGAATACCAATCAAATTAAAGAGAAATTAGAACAAAAACTCAAAGAAATGGAAGAGCTGGAAGTTGAGGTCAAGGTGGGCGATGACAAATACAAACAAGTGGAGGAGAAATTTGATAAAATCAAAACGATGTATGCCAAATTAAGGGAAGAGCATATACAATTGTTGAGGGTACGCAATGATGATTCGAAACAATTAATGGCAGAACGTAAGAAAGCCGAGGAGTTACAAACTGAGATTCTGGCCCTTAAGGCCAAAGAGGAAGACTTGATCAAAGTCGAGCAGAAGAATGTGGCATTAAATGACAAAATCAAAGAATACGAAGATGTGATTACGAAAAACGAAAAGAGATTAAAAGAATTAGAGCAGCAACTCAGCGAGTCCAAGGCCTTATTTGAGAAGCACGACACCGATAAGAGTGCAATTATAAGTGAATATGAAAACCAGTTGTTGGAACAAAAAATGGAATTGAAGAAGTTCAAAGAAAACTATGATCTGGAGGTACAAACGAAGCAGCATGAAATGCAGGAGTTGATGCACATCAAATCCCAGCATGAAAATAATCTGCAGGAATTACAACAAAAATTGCAGAATACCACAAAAGATAAGGATAATTTGAGTCTTAAATTGCAGGAAATCGAAAAAGAAATGTTGCAAAAAATCCAAGCACATGAAAACGAAATGAAAATAAAATCAACTGAGATGGAACAATTGCAGGAAGTGAAAAGTCAACAAAGTGAGACAATACGTAACTTGGAAGATCGCCTACAAGAAGGTACAAAAACAAATGAAACCCTAAATCGTAGCCTTAGTGAAATGGGTGAGCAGATCACTGATATTTCTGGTCAATTGGAGACAGCCAAAAAGGAAGTAACTGACCTTAAAACAAGTGAAACTCAAACACGAAATATGTTAGATAATCTACTATCCTCCCTAAGTAAATTATTGGCAAATTCCATACAAAAAGATTTCAATTTTGAGTATTTGGAAATGACTGAAATTCCACAGGCCAGTAAAATAAATATACAACAAATTCACAATCAATTACAGCAAATTCCAAATGAATATAAATCGCTGCAAGAAACAAAGGGACAACACATGGCACCATTTATGTCTTTGTATTTAGAATTGAGTCAAAATTTCAAAATATTCCATGAACATATAATGTTGATATTTAGTAATACCACAGATTTAAATAAGGCTGAAGAGTTACGTTTATTGTGTAATGAATTGCGGCAATCTGTTACGGCCTTGTATAAGGGCATTGCTGAAAATAAAGAGGTTGCTGTAATTGAAAATATTTCCCTAAGGGAAATCGGCCCCAAATTAAATGCCATACAATCTGTGGTCACAGGCTTGGAGAATTCCTTTAGCGAAAGCCTCAATGTGGGCGATATGTTGCAACAGGAACTCAAGCAAATGGACAATATTATCGAAGAGGCAACTAAGGAAATCATGGATCTGTTGCTGAATACCAAATCCCAACATGAGGGCATTAAACTAGAGGTTAATGAGAAAATTTTGGATTCATGTACCAATCTGATGCAATGCATTATGGTTTTAATACAACGTTCCCGCGAATTGCAAAATGAAATTGTTTCCACCCAAAAGGGAGCTTCCAGCGTCAAGGAGTTCTACAAACGTAACAGTCAATGGACTGAGGGTTTAATTTCGGCCTCCAAAAGTATTGCCAAGGGTGCCAAATATCTAGTGGATGCTGCCAATAAAACAATTGGTTCCGATTCAGCAGAATGTTTTGAACTCATTGTGGCTGCCCAAGATATTGCTGCCAGTACAGCTCAATTGGTTATAGCCAGTAAGGTAAAGGCCCGTAACGATAGTTCCAATCTTGCCAATCTAACAAAGGCTTCACGTGATGTTTCCATGGCCACGGGACAAGTTGTGGCCACGGTACGAGATGGTAACAGCAAACTGGAATATAAAAATGAAATTGATATTTCACAATTAACACCCTTCCCAAAAGAAAACCATGGAAATGGAAATGCAAATAAAGGTTCTTCAACTGGAACATTCACTGCAAAGTGAACAGCAAAAGTTAATGTCATTCCGCAAGGCATTCTATCAAAGTGCAGATGATGATTAGAGAGAAAAAAAAACAAAACCACAGTATAAAAATTCATTCCTTTTTTATTTGTTTGTCTTATATTTATTAAAAAAAGAAACCAAATCTAAAAATATATATTTTTATATGTTTTTTTTTTCTTTAAAACCATAGTTTCAACTATGACTATATAAACAAAACATGACAATATATTTATAACATTCGAAATGTCTTAAATTTATATACTATGAAACTACTAACAACTAATTAAATTAACTTACTTGACTATGTCAATAACAAAAAACAATAAGAAAACGTAAACAAACCTCCCTCCCCACTAACAACAATTGTTTTGTAGATATATAAAATGTTAAAACACATATACATATGTATGTATATGTTAACTCCGAACAAAGAAAAAAACAAATCTTTCAGTATAAAAACAACCAAATTGAAACTAATCTATTCCCCCAACATTCTATCTTTATTGATAGTATTAAGAAACCAACAAAAAAAAACCTAAAATAAACATAACACCAAAAATTCCCCATAAATTGTTTAAAACACCCACACACATGGACATATACCACAAACCATTGTGTTGTTATAATTGTATTTTTATGTATAAAAGAAAAATAAAATAAATATTTTTTTATTATCATTATTATTAAAAAAATATCGAAATTGTATAATTTATGTTACAATATACATTTTTTTAAACTAAGTTTAAGTAATAACAAATCAATAAAGCGTTGTTAATGACAGACAATTTCATAGAATGTTGACTAATAACAAAAATATACAATGTGACAAATACATAGAAATATATATATATATACATTAAAATGCATTGTATGTTTTACTTAAACGGGTTTGAAATCAGTCAGTCAATCTCACATGGCTTGTTGACATACGCAAAGAAGTTGTGGTAAATATTTAATATTTGTTTAAAGCTTTTAATTGTTTGTGGATAAACAGTTGGTTTTTTTTTTTCAAATAGTATTTACTCACATAATTGTTTTATAAACTATTCGCAGTATTTAATTTTTTTATAACCTCCACCACAAGGGGGAGTATAAATTAAATTTGTCATTTCGTTTGGTACACTTGCAAATATTCACCATAAATTCTATGCCGATTTAGCCATGTCCGTCTGTTTATTGAAATCACGTTAGAGCTTTAAAATTTTACACATACATTATTGCTATTATGATATTGAAAATGGGATTTATCGATTCGCTTTTTATGATACCCTAATATTTGGTATTTTGCAGCTTTTTGGTTACGTTATTCAACAGAATTGGTTCTAATTTGATATTAGGGCTTTCAATGGAGTAGAAAATCTCCATACCAAAAAATAAAAAATATTAGTCAATTTTTAGGGGGCCCTCATTTAGCGGTACGCCCCTATATTGGGTATTTCTAAACTTTTGGGTAAGTTTTTCAACCTAATCAGTTGTAATATGGTATTTTGGTTTCTCACTGGGGAAAAAAGTTTCCTATCGAAAATGATCAGTATTAGCCCAATTTTCCGGGTAGTCCCCATATTGCACTACGTACCAATATTTGGGTATTTTGGGCACGCGTTTCAACCAAATTGTCAGCAATTCCACATTCTGGATTCTCATTTCATAGAAAATTTTCCTACTAAAAATGATCAGTATTGGCCCGGGTAGCTCCCATATTACACTACACGCTAAAAGTTTGGGCCATTTTTTTTGGATTGCCATTTTTTTCCAACGATGTGGCTTAAATAAGGGTTCTTGAAGTCTGACATAGATAATTATCAATATAGGTCTTAAAAAACTTGAAATTCTCCAATAGCAAAATAACAGCATGTTTACATCCAAGGCAAGTCAGTGAACAAGAGAACCAAGATTACGCCTGCTTCAGCTTGTCGGCGATCGCAGATAGCCTTTAATAATCTGAAACTAGTATCTATGAATTTCGCACACGTAAATCCGATATTATATATTCGTAATCGGGGATTCCATTGCAAAGTATAAGAATAAGTTCGAAGCTATCCCGAGCAGCTCTTAAACATGACTTATGTCATGGTACAATCATACAAGATAGACTACAGCTACTTACAAATTCCTTTTTTTCTTGTTGTGGCTTGTTATGTCAAAGTATTTGTAATGTTTTAAATGTCCGCCCATAGGTATGAAATTTAAAACTTGTGAGGTGAATCAATATCAACATTTTATTTCCCAATCGATTTTGTAAAGAAAACCTGACGTTCCATTAATTTTTCGACTTGTTGCGTTTGTATTTGTTCTGACATAACAAGCCACGAGGTAGAAGTGTATTTTTCTTTTTGACCCACATAACTACGTATGGTATGTTCCCATACTGGAAGAACTTACTAGATTTTACTATTATCTTCGAAATCATAAAGGAAAATTCGTTATCGTAGTAAAAAGTAGTAGATTCTTGCAGTACGGGAACATACCAATAATAATATTAAATTTTTAATATTTTATTAATAAATAATTATTTTTGAATAAAATTTAGTTTTAGTGTAAAGCTAGGAGAGTATAGAACAAGAATCAACAGAATGGAAAGTGGATCTAAATGAGATAAGTCATTTCCGATATTATTGTGAATTTTTGGTTGTTACTAATTTGTATATGACTTTGGCATAACAAGCCACATTATGAAAAAATGTTAATATATAAGTTGCTATGGCCTACCTTGCATAATTGTACCATGAATTCAACTGTCTGGAACTATGTAAATATTTAAGAATTCCATTCACTCTCGAAAAAGAAATATTAACAACGTTAACTAAAATTCAACGAAGCGTACAAAATATTCAACTTCCCAACTATGGCAAAATGTTGTGTACGGCCGTATTACCCAAATACGTTGTATCTGTCCATTTCTTTTAACGAACTAAACAAAATCGCGAAACAAAATTAAGAAATTATAAAATGTGTTCAAATATTTCATATTCTTATTGAAAAAACTATATTTTTTATGTTTTGTTTCTATTTTCAGCAGAAGAAAAATACCAAAACTACGTTCTGTCATAGTTATATATTTTCAACTTCGATAAATTCGTATGTCGACATATTTCGGTAACATTCATATAAATACATGTGTTCTACATTTGTGGTGAAAAACGTCGAACGAGCTAGTTGAACGTTAGGTAAGGCTGTAACGCAACTTATTTCAGTGTAAATACGCCATAAGAAATATTTTACTACACAAAAATACAACCCTGCATTGTCCACTATTGTGAATGGTTGTCACAAGAACATCTGTTTACAGCAACTACAAGCTTGCTTGCCTTCAATTGCTTCATTTCAACATTAAAATAAATATCAAATTAAATATTAAAAATAATTCAAATATCCCCAAAAAATCCACCAATTGGACTCCGAACAAAATGACATTAGTTTTAAAGGTAAATTGTCGGGCCTGTAATCGAGAATGCGGCGATTACAAACACCTGATGGATGAGACGCTAATCGATGAGGAGGCCACAACGCTGGCTGCCCTACTCAACTATTGCACCACATTGGATTGTTTTGATGGCAATGAAGACTTCTCCCTGCCCGAACACATTTGCAATAGCTGTGTGGAACATTTGCTACAAGCGTACCTGTTCAAAGAAATGGTTCTACAAAATGATCGTGATTTGAGGGAACGTATCAAACGGGAAATGGAAGAGGCACAATCGAATCTGGAAATAGATCAGGTAATACACGAAGGTGATGATGCTGGCAGTGAGGTGGCCAGTGAATTGAAACAATGTGATGATTATGTGGAACAGGAAATTGATGTTGGCGAGGCGGAAGAGGAAAATTTAAAGGGTTTTCCGCCAGAGGAGAAAGTTGTGGAAAAACCAAAATCAGTGAAAAAGGTTGAAAAGCATTCAGTGGTGGTGGCTGAGAAAAAGAAGCCAGAGAAGAAAAAGGAAAGCGTGGAGAAAATGGAAGTGGTAGAAGAGTCTAAGGTGGAAGAAACGGAAGAGGATATTTTGGAATATGAAATGGTAGAATGGTTGGAAATAGATGAAGAGAATTCCACAGTTACGGATGAGCGGCCGGAATCATCACAACAAGATGTCGATGAACAGCATTTTATTAAAATCGAAGCCAACGGCGGTGAGGGTAGTGAATATATAACACCGGAGGATGAGGAAGAACACTTTGAAAGTGCCGACTCCATAGATGACAGTAAGGATTATGATGAAAAGGAGAATGGTATTAATCAACAATCGGAAAAAGAAACAGAAGAAGATGAGGTGAAAAAGGTGCCAAGAAAGAAATTTGTTAAGGTAAGTTGGAGATACTTTCTGAAATTAAAATATTTTGTAAAATGACTTTCTTTTCAGACTGGCGGTTTGACCGAGGAAGACCTAAAATGTCAGTATTGTGGCAAACAATTCGATAAAATGTGTCGTCTGCGAGAACACACCTATGTCCATACGGGAGAAAAACCGCACGTATGTCAAATATGCGGCAAACGGTCGCGTACCAAGACCCATTACAACGTTCACATGTTGACCCATAGTGAGGAGAAAAAATATCGATGTGATATCTGTGGACAACATTATCGTACCTCGACCAGTCTACGAGTACATGAACGTAAACATTCTGACATACGACCATATGCCTGCCCGATTTGTGATAAATCCTTCCATACTGCAGAACAAAAGAAACTACACGTTATGATACATACAGGAGAAAGGCCGTATAAATGTGATATCTGCGACAAGGCCTATCGAGAAAGTCATTCCCTGAAACAGCACATACTGACACATGGTGACAAGAAACCCTACCAGTGTGATGTATGTGGTAAGGGTCTAACCCAAATGTCCGGTTATAGACGACACATGCTGCTGCACACCAATGAATATCCCTACAGTTGTGATATCTGTGGTCGGCCGTTTAGAATCTCTAGTAATTTAGTGGCCCACAAACGTCTTCATTTTGATACGCTACCCTATCAATGTACAGTCTGTTCAAAGGGTTTCAATAATTCAACAAGGCTAAAGAAACATATGCTACAACATGAAAAGGAATCGACCAAAGAATCGTTTAAGCCACGTAAACCACGTCAGGATCCCATAGTTGTCGATACGAAAATGTGTAAATCAAGAGTTGTGGAGATTATTTAATTCTTTATTTTTTTTAATTTTCAATAGGTTTTGTATGAATATTTTGTACGTATGCTTTCTAATTTCTATGATTTTGCTTTTTTCTTTCTTTCACTAATATTGTTATATTTTAAAAATAAGTATATTAATTGTACGCCAGTTTAGATATAATTGCAAGAATTGTTTTTTGATTTAAGTCTTATAAGTCTAATTTAATTTAACTATAATGCTATATAAGAATTTTATACATATGTTCTTTAGTGAATAGTTGAAGCATTCTTAAACAAAAAAATAAATATTTTTGTACAAAAATTCTATAAATGTATATGTGTAATATTTATTTATTTAAAAGGAAACTTGTTATTTTGAAAGTTATAATACCTAAACATACAACCAACATGTATAGCTTCAATTGCCATTGTTTTCTGCGACATTTTCTTCATTTTCCATGTTATTATTCTCTTTAATATCTTGTGGAATTTCTGGGTCTTGCTCAGTTATATCATAAGTTATTTGAATTAGTTCCTTTGCCTCTGACTGATTTGGTTCTTGAATTAGTTTATTCTGATTGTCCTCATTAGGAATCGTTTGATCAGTTACATAATTTATGCCAGTATTAATAAAAGCTCTAGATGCTGGTTCACACACATCTTGAAAAATATATTCATCGGGTGGTCCATCATCTTTGGGTGCCTAAAAATATGTTTTTTTTTTTAATTGTGATTGTAAAAATGTTCGTTTCTATTAGCTTTTCAATGTGTGTAGCACTTAGTTAAGGTATTTCATAATCGGGAAATGACATCCCTTAATTTATACTCATAAAAGCTAATTATATAATCGGGAAATGATATCCGTTAATTTATATTCATAATAGATCATTTAACATTTAGGGGTACATACTTACATTTTGTTGTAGTTTATGACGAAAGAATCGTTGAATTTTACGAGCTGCCTCTTCTTTTTCGAATATATCCAGGCTCTGATCGGAGTATTCCTAATGAAGTAAACGATTTTCGGTTACGTTGGCATATACAATATATATATATATACAAACCTTTGCGGGCACATTAGTATCCATGGGTAAAAACATGGAACGTCTTACCAAAAAGCCACGGAAATTAGCCTGAAATATAGAGACCATTATAAGAGACCATTAAAGGAATCGGGTATTTGGAATAATTGAATAAAAATACTTGTATTTTAAGTGCCGCCTCATTACGTTTACGTTCCTCTTCACGTTTGATTTCACGTTCACGGAAGTATTGATATAGGGTTTCAGTGCCATCAATGTTCTGAAAATAAAGAAATTAAGATTACTTTTTATGTTTGAAAAAAAAGATGCCCAGAGGTCTTTATAAAGAACTGTATGGAGACCAAAGATATTTATAAAGACCAATAGGTCTGTATAGAGAACAATTGTCTTTATAAAGACCAATTGGTCTGAATAGATTCTTTATAAAGACCAATTGGTCTGTATGGAGACCAAAGGTTTTTATAAAGACCATTTGGTCTGTATAGAGACCAAAGTTCTTTATAAAGACCAATTGGTCTGTATAGAGACCAAAGTTCTTTATAAAGACCAATTGGTCTGTATAGAGAACAAAGGTCTTTATAAAGACCAATTGGTATAGGGGCCAAAGGTCTTTATAAAGACCAATTGGTCTGTATTGAGACCAAATGTATTTATAAAGACCAGTTGGTCTGTATAGAGACCAAAGGTCTTTATAAAGACCAGTTGGTCTGTATAGAGACCAAAGGTCTTTATAAACACCAGTTGGTCTGTATAGAGACCAAAGGTCTTTATAAAGACCAATTGGTCTGTATAGAGACCAAAGTTCTTTATAAAGACCAATTGGTCGGTATAGAGACCAAAGGTCTTTATGAAGACCAATTGGTCTGTATGGAGACCAATTGGTCTGTATAGAGACCAAAGGTCTTTATAAAGACCAATTGGTCTGTATTGAGACCAAAGGTCTTTATAAAGACCAATTGGTCTGTATTGAGACCAAAGGTCTTTATAAAGACCAATTGGTCTGTATTGAGACCAAATGTATTTATAAAGACCAATTGTGTTTTTATAAAGACCAATTGGTATAGGGACCAAAGGTTTTCATAACAGACCCAATGGTGTGAATAAAGACCAATTGGTCTGTATAGAGTCCAAAGGTCTTTATAAAGAACAATTTATCTGTATAATCTACCTAAAATTACCTCATGTACTGTCATATACGCCTCTACAAATTTCTGATATGCCGCCTCTATAACTGGCCGGGAAATTTTCAATTCATCATCGGAAAATTTACATCTCCTAATTAACTCATCCAACATATCGATTTCATTGAATTTGATTATTTCAATCTCCTTTCCCATTTCACAGCGTCTCTGGGCCAAGAAACGTTTAAAACATTCCTCCATGGCTTGACACATTTTTTCCGCTTTCGATGGTTGTATGTCACAGACACACATATCCGCAACAACCTCATCGACTATACGTAAGGCACGATCTATGGCCATTTTGGCCACTAAAAAAACGAAATAAAAGAAAAAATCGAAACTTCATTGAGTTTTGTATTAGATAATGGAAAAATTGGGGAAAAAACCTACTTCGTGCCTTGTCTCGCGCTACAATCACCGAATGCAAATAATCAATTATGAATTGACACAAGCACTCTTTGGTTGGTTGACATCTTAGAACTTCACGCGTAATGTCCGATAACAGTTCAGGCAATCCTTCTGGTACATTTATTGTTTGGGAGCGTATTTTGCCATGTTGTATTAAATAGGCCATGGTTTGGGTTACTATTATGTCGGATTTTTTTTTATAAATGAAAGTTTAATTATTTTGAAATACAAAAATAACTATTAGGTTGGTGCCAAGGATTGTTTCATGGGAATCAACGCCTTGTTGAGTACTTCACAAAATATTGTTTAAAAATCTGCTATTTGCTAAGTCTTTATAGAAAAAATTTTGCTAAGCCAAATTTTTAAGCCTCATTTTTGTCGCCTTATTCGACATTTTATTTCGGTCGAACTCCATACTTGAAATAAAAGTCAATCACCTTAATTTTTCAGATTAAAACATATTCCCGTTTCATTGGTAATGAAACAATTTTTTTGTTCGCAGATCGAGCGCCCGTATAAATTATTATTCCGAATCGAGTTTTTATTTGATATTGACCCCGATCTGACAGAAATAGTTTTTGTTTGTAATATACTACAATATAAATACTAGTAGTTTATGATGACATCGAATGAAAACGCGATTTGGTGTCAAAGTGTAAACAGAACCTCAAAATAATGGACTTGAGAAATTTCAAAATTTTTGAATTCCTAATATTTTTAATACTTCTCATTTGCAAAGGATATGCGGAAGGTAATTGAGATAGAAATTTATTTAAATTTTATTAAATCTTTTTTCCGGTTTCTTTTTATACAAATTCTCAGTCCTAACCCCCTGGCCGGAGCGTATTGTGGGCGGCATGGATTTACCCGAAGGCTATTATGTACCCTATCAAGTGTCACTGCAATATTTAATGAATCCCGAAAGTTCAAAACGAACTGGACCAATTTATAAACACTTTTGTGGTGGTTCCATAATATCGCCGCAGCATATTTTAACAGCTGCCCACTGTTGTTATGGCTTCGATGTTAGACGTATGACTGTAGTGGCTGGTGTACGAGATCTGCGTGATACCATGGTCAAACGTTATTCCGTTGATACAATAAAACTACATTCAAAATTTTCGGAATTGTTTTCAAATGATATAGCGATTTTGAAATTATCCACACCCTTGGATCTGGATAATCGTACACAGTCGATAATTGAATATATCCATGAAGAACGTATACCGGGAGGTGTAACAGTATTTCTGACCGGTTGGGGTTTGCGTATACCGTTCAGTTTACAAATACCATTTTCATGGCCATCTGTTCAGGATCATTTGAATACTATTAGTACTCCGACTATTCTGCAAGTAATGAATTTTCGTACCGTCTCCGATTTTCAATGTAAACTGGCTATTGATCGATTGACGCCGAGAGAGTTATGTGTTACGGGTGATTGGATCTCTGGAGCATGTTCGGTAAGTTAAGTCTAGGGAAATTTAAATATCTATGTATGAAGGGAGGTTAAAGAGTGAGGCTTGAGGCCTTGCCTTTAGATTTGATTTTTAGTGAGATCCTTGAAATTATGTTACCTCTCCCACAATTTTTCGAAATTTCAAATAAAATTGTCCGTTTTTTCTATTCTGCAGGGTGACTCTGGCGGACCTTTAGTAATGCTCACCAAAAACGGTTTAATCCAGGTCGGAATTGTATCATATGGCTTATTTGTGTGTGGTGTTTTTAATGGTATCGTGCCAGATGTTTACACAAGAGTATCCGAATATAGGGAATGGATAGAAAACAATATGAAATCGTGAGAAATGTGAAGAAGTGATTTTTAAAATTATAGAAATAAATTGTGAAAAAATCCACGCCTATTTTGGGGCTTAAAAAAACATTCTTTAAAAATCCACGCCTACTGTAGAGCTTAAAAATATTCTTCAAAACATCCACGCCTATTGTAGAGCTTAAAAAATATTCTTTAAAACATCCACGCCTATTGTAGAGCTTAAAAAATATTCTTAAAAAAAATCCACGCCTATTTTGGTGCTTAGCATTGTAAGCTAATTTAATTACAACACTACCTCATATTTCAATGTATTTGCGGTATCGGATAGACTTAGGAAAAATGTCAATGTCATTTGGTGAAGTATTTTCCGACAATTGGATAAACTACATTGTAAGTGGTTCAAAACCACCTGGGTGTTCTTTCGCTGTAATGATAAGAACTACCCAACTAACTACCCTGCGGTGTCTTAAAGCCGTTGGCGGCCAAGTTCTATGTAATTGATTAAGACACTATAAATAAAATGACTTCGAATTAAAAACTTACTTACTAAACTTACTTAGCTTTGAGAAGTAAAAGTGTCAATACAACAATGTTTCCACGAGCTTTGTTGGGTTTGGTCTTAGTCCTGGCCATATGGCAGTGTTATAGCGCACCATCATGGGAGGAACCATTGGATTGTGAGTCGAAAAAAAGTTAAAAAAATATTTAAAATAATTTTAAATCTGTTTCCTTTCATCCAGTGGAAGCCTATTTCGATGCCTTAGATGCCGTCCCCGAATCTCAAGAACGTGTGGTCGGAGGTTATGCTGTTGACTCCGAACAATATATCAATTATCAAATATCGCTGCAATACAATAAAGATGGTGATTATCGCCACTTTTGCGGTGGTTCCATAATTGCACCCAATCGCATTCTAACTGCCGCTCATTGTGTCCAAGGGCAGAATCCCCAAAAATTAAGTATTTTAGCGGGTATCAATGACCTGCGTTCCAAAGACGGTTCCCGATCTCAAGTCACTGCCATTGATGTCCATAAAAATTATGTACCCCTTAAGTCCAGTGATATTGCAATTCTGAATATTGATCCACCCCTACAGTTGGATGGTAAACGTATCGATAAAATTAATTTCAGTAATTCGGAAAAGGTGGGTGCCAAACAACCGGTACGTTTATCTGGATGGGGTTCGGTACATCATTTCGGTAATGGCGTTTTGGCCCGCTATCCCAAAAGATTGCAATTGCTGAACTATGTAACGATCACAAATGAGGATTGTAAACAGATTATGCAGGATTTATCGGATACGGAAATTTGTGCCCGAGAGCGCTTTGGCAAGGGGGCCTGTAATGTGAGTTTGTAGTTGAAATTTTAGAATTTTGTTGTTGTAATTTCGACGATTTATTTTTTGATATTTAGGGTGATTCTGGCGGTCCCTTAGTTATGCAGAAAGATGACACCTTAACCCAAGTGGGCATTGTCTCATATGGCACCGCCTTTTGTGCTTCAAGTGCTCCAGATGTTTATACCAGAGTTACCGAATTTGATGATTGGATCAAGGAACGTCTTTAAAGTGGGAAATTTTCTTTATTTTTTTTCTTCTTACTTTTTACCACAAAAGAACTTTAATTTTTATTTAATAAATATATTTAAATGAATATAAAACCAGTAAGAAAAGTTCAAAAGTCGGACGGGGCGACTATATGATACCCTTCACCACTTTGGGTACATACAAGTGATGTTAACATCTACAATATCCTGTAGATAGAACAGACATAGAATCTTTCTAGGACCATTAGGATGGAATCGGGCGAAATTAGATGTGCTATCTAGATAGGTATTTGAACCAATTGAAAACCCCCATACACATACCATTCTGAAATTGCATGTCAAACGGGCAGACTTGGATTGTTAGGTACCATTTGTATGAAATCGAGTAAAATTATGTATGGGAGCTCTATATAAGCACATGGACCTAATTGAGCAACCGTTGCATACAACATTTGTTTTTTGTTATCGCTCTATATTCAATTTAATACCCTTTGCCAAATTTCGTGTAAATCAAACAGGCATAGGCTCTTCGGTGCCCATTTACATAAAATGGAACGAAAAAATATATAAGACCAAAATCAAATCTGAACCGATTTCAACAAACCTTATCACACATCATCATCGGACGAAACTATATATGGGACCTATATCTAAATCTAAACCGATTTTAGCAAAACTTCGCAGACATCAATCTGGACCTAATTCAGTACTCTGTGTAAAATTTTGTTCCAATCGGACAAATATTGAGAGTTTGGTGCATCATTCACAAAAAATCGGACGAAACTATATATGGGAGCTATATTTACATCTGAACCGATTCCAACAAAACTTCGTACACATAAGCATGGACCTGATTCATTGCGCTGTGCAAAATTTTGTTCCAATCGGACAAATATTGGAAGTTTGGTGCATCATTCACATAAAATCGGACGAAACTATATATGGGAACTATATCTAAATCTGAACCGATTCCAACAAAACTTCGCACACATAAGCATGGACCTGATTCAGTGCGCTGTGCAAAATTTTGTTTTGTTTTGGGAGTTTGGTGCATCATTCACATAAAATCGAACGAAACTGTATATGGGAGCTAAATTTAAATCTGAACCGAATTTCTCCAATTTCAATAGGGTTCGTCCTTGGGCCAAATAACTGAAATGTGTCAAATTTGATCCAAATCGGATCATAGATGCGACCTGTACTTTTTTAACAAAAATACATGGACGGACATGCGTAAATCGACTCAGAAAGTAATTCTATGCTTATTCTCAAAAGGAACAATGGGTCTATTTCGATTCCGTTTGCCTGTTACAACAATACGCACAAAGACATAATATCCTGTACCACAGTGTGGTGAAGGGTATAAAAAGATTTATTAAAAAATGCCCAAAACACCAACAATTAGCAAAGATATTTTACACACTCCAAGAGTCCATAAAAAAAATATTTCTTAAAAATCCACGCCTTATTTGAGTCCATGAAAAAATATTCTTTAAAAAATCCACGCCTAAATATTGGTCCTTGAAAAATATTCTTTAAAAAATCCACGCCTAAATATTGGTCCTTGAAAAATATTCTTTAAAAAATCCACGCCTAAATATTGGTCCTTGAAAAATATTCTTTAAAAAATCCACGCCTAAATATTGGTCCTTGAAAAATATTCTTTAAAAAATCCACGCCTAAATATTGGTCCTTGAAAAATATTCTTTAAAAAATCCACGCCTAAATATTGGTCCTTGAAAAATATTCTTTAAAAAATCCACGCCTAAATATTGGTCCTTGAAAAATATTCTTTAAAAAATCCACGCCTAAATATTGGTCCTTGAAAAATATTCTTTAAAAAATCCACGCCTAAATATTGGTCCTTGAAAAATATTCTTTAAAAAATCCACGCCTAAATATTGGTCCTTGAAAAATATTCTTTAAAAATCCACGCCTAAATATTGGTCCTTGAAAAATATTCTTTAAAAAATCCACGCCTAAATATTGGTCCTTGAAAAATATTCTTTAAAAAATCCACGCCTAAATATTGGTCCTTGACAAAAAATTCTTTAAAAAATCCACGCCTAAATAATGGTCCTTGAAAAATATTCTTTAAAAAATCCAAACCATATTTGAGTCCTTGAAAAAATATTCTTAAAAAATCCACGCCTTATTTGAGTCCTTGAAAAAATATTCTTTAAAAAATCCACGCTTATGGCTCAGATTGTCCTTGATCCACCCCTTATTACTCCGACATTTTGGCCACGTAATACCTTTTGTCTTTAATAAAACCTTTGAAGCCGCTTCGAATTAATATCATGGCGGCAGATCTCTTAGGTTGTTTGTTTTTGCCTGAAAAAATTACAGGTTTGAAATTTAATTTCTTTAAGTAGCAAATTTATTTAAAAAACTAACACTCAGCTAGTATTTAAGAAGATTAATTTTATCATAAAAATAGTTTAATTTAATTTAATTAGAAGTTAGTACTTCGTACTTGTATTTTTGTATAAAAACATATTCAAAAGGACCTGACCAACAGAGTGCGGCTATTGGTTCTTGGAATCAAATAGGAAAAATGTTCGAAAAATTGGTTTTATTTGTGGTTCTCCTGGCTGTGAATTGGAATTCTGGCGAGGCCTCCTCAGACCTGCTTTGGGATTGTAAGTGAAAAAATAAAAATAAAAAAAAAAATAATAAAAAATATGCAAAGAAATATTTTTTTAATTCCCTCCCTTTTCAGTGGATGCCTATTTCGATGCCATGGATGCAGCGGGAAATTCTCAAGATCGCATTGTGGGTGGTGACAACGTTCCCGATGGCGAATATATACCCTATCAAGTATCGATACAATATTTGAAAAATAATACCAATCGTCATTTTTGTGGCGGATCAATTATCACCCCTAATCGCATTTTAACTGCTGCCCATTGTGTGGTGGGACAAAACCCCGAACGTATTTCCATATTGGCTGGGGTGATTGATTTGCAAGATACAACTGGTTTCCGCTCGCAGGTGACACGAATTGATAGCCATGAGGATTTTAAACCTATAAAAGGCAATGATATTGCCATTTTGGATATTGAACCCGCTTTGGAATTGGATGGCCAACGTATGGATACCATAAATGTCGATTATAGTGAACCAGTAGGATCCGATGAAAAATCCATATTAACCGGTTGGGGTTCTATACGACAATCGCGAACATCACCCATTTATCCAAATCATTTGCAACGATTGTCATATCGTACTATGAGTAATGCGATTTGTAAATGGCAAATGCGTAGTTTGACGGAGACTGAGATTTGTGCGAAATCCGATAGGGGTACGGGGGCATGTGCGGTAGGTTAAAAGCAGTTTTTTAAATACTTTATAATTTTATTTTAATATTTTTTCTCTAGGGAGACTCAGGAGGTCCTTTGGCCATGCAGAGGAATGGTGAAACAATCCAGGTGGGAATTGTCTCCTATGGTCGGCGTAAATGTGGTTCAGATGGCTTGGATGTTTATACCCGAGTTGGAATGTTCAATGAATGGATTAAGGAAAGAATTTGAAATATTTTGAAAATTATAAACAAAAATAATTGAATTTAATAAACAATAATAAAAAAGTCCTTGAAAAAATCCACACTGGAGTCCTTGACAAAATATTCTTTAAAATATCCACTTTGTGGGTTCTTCAAAAAATTTTTTTTAAATCCATGCATAGTAAAGGCTTGAAAAAATATTCTTTAAAAATTCCACGCCTATTGGAGTCCTTGAAAAAATATTATTTCAAAATCCACATTATTTTGAATGTTTGAAAAATTATTATTTACAAATCTACTTTCCTTTGAATGTTTGAAAAATTATTCGACGTTTCGTTGAGCCCTTGAATAGGCATTCTTTAAAAATCTACGTTTATTAGAGTCCTTGAAAAAATATTCTTTAAAATATCCACACCTATTGGGGTGCTTGAAAAAATTACGATTTTTTGAGTCCTTGAAAAAAGGTTTTTTTAAAAAATGCGCATTTATGGATGGTCCTTGAAATTGACATTTACAGCTCTGCTAAACCTTGAAAATATAGTTTTTAAAGAAAATTCTCAATTAGTCCTTGAAACTTCTCTCTATTTTTTTCGATACGACCCATGTTTCCCTAGCCCAACCAATCGCCACCACCACATTACAAATTACCATCTTTTTCCAACGCTTTGGAAAAAACATATGTTTTGTCTATTTTAAATTAATAGCTTGTAACTTTCGATTTGCAAATTTGTTCATTGGTCGTAGCTCCTCACAGGGTTGGTAATCAGCAGAAATGTCCAATGTTGCACCGATACAAGTTTTCTTTCGACTTGTCCTGTTTCTACTGTCTCTTGCTGTTTCTATCTACAACCACACACTGCACACTTAATGATAAATTATGATCCAATGTTCCAATTTTTTTTTTTTGCAACAGATTAATACATTTTGTGCTGGAGTGAAGGAGCGAAGCATCAGCGGACCGAACAAGTGGCTATGGTTATTTAAACAAGATTAAAATCTGAAAATATTTATGAAATAATATGAAGATCTGATAAGATAAGGAAACAATTTTGCGATTTGTAGCTTAACCTATAAACTAATATGTGTGTGTGTGTGTGTCTGTGTTTACATTGGCCGAAGAAGGAGGGAGGGATGGGAATGAAATATTTCTTGATCTACAAACACATATAGGAAAACCATAAAGCTTGGGTGTAAATATGCTGTAAAATATGTAAACCAGCAGATCGAAATTTTCTATAAAGAATATGGTAGATTCCGAATGGCATGAATTAAAAAAAATTCTGGAATCCAATAAGACGTGGATTTTTTAAAGAATATTTTTTCAAGGACTCAAATAAGGAGTGGATTTTTTAAAGAATATTTTTTTCAAGGACTCAAATAAGTCGTGGATTTTTTGAAGAATATTTTTTCAAGGACCAACAATAAGACGTGGATTTTTTAAAGAATATTTTTTCAAGGATCAACAATATGGCTTGAATTTTATAAAGAATATTTTTTCAAGGACCAACAATAAGGCGTGGATTTTTTTAAAGAATTTTTTTTCAAGGACTCAAATAAGGCGTGGATTTTTTAAAGATTTTTTTCATGGACCTACAATAAGGCGTGGATTTTTTAAAGATTTTTTTTCATGGACCTACAATAAGGCGTGGATTTTTTAAAGAATTTTTTTTTTCAAGGACCTACAATAAGGCGTGGATTTTTTAAAGAATATTTTTCAAGGACCAATATTTAGGCGTGGTTTTTTTAAAGAATATTTTTCAAGGACCAATATTTAGGCGTGGATTTTTTAAAGAATTTTTTTCAAGGACCTACAATAAGGCGTGGATTTTTTAAAGAATTTTTTTCAAGGACCTACAATAAGGCGTGGATTTTTTAAAGAATATTTTTTCAAGGACCTACAATAAGGCGTGGATTTTTTTCAAGGACCTACAATAAGGCGTGGATTTGTTAAAGACCTACAATAAGGCGTGGATTTTTAAAGAATATTTTTTCAAGGACCTACAATAAGGCGTGGATTTTTTAAAGAATATTTTTTCAAGGACCTACAATAAGGCGTGGATTTTTTAAAGAATTTTTTTTAAGGACCTACAATAAGGCGTGGATTTTTTAAAGAATTTTTTTTAAGGACCTACAATAAGGCGTGGATTTTTTAAAGAATTTTTTTTAAGGACCTACAATAAGGCGTGGATTTTTTAAAGAATTTTTTTCAAGGACCTACAATAAGGCGTGGATTTTTTAAAGAATTTTTTTCAAGGACCTACAATAAGGCGTGGATTTTTTAAAGAATTTTTTTCAAGGACCTACAATAAGGCGTGGATTTTTTAAAGAATTTTTTTTCAAAGACCTACAATAAGGCGTGGATTTTTTAAAGAATTTTTTTCAAGGACTCAAATAAGGCGTGGATTTTTTAAAGAATTTTTTTTCAAGGACCTACAATAAGGGGTGAATTTTGTAAACATTTTTTTCAAGGACCTACAATAAGACGTGGATTTTTTAAAGAATATTTTTTCAAGGACTAACAATAAGGCATGGATTTTTTAAAGAATATTTTTTCAAGGACCTATAATAAGGCGTGATTTTTTTAAAGATTTTTTTTCAAGGGCCTACAATAAGGCGTGGATTTTTTTAAAGATTTTTTTTCAAGGGCCTACAATAAGGCGTGGATTTTTTTAAAGATTTTTTTTCAAGGCGTTATTTTTCTAAAGACTTTTTTAAGGCGTTATTTTTCTAAAGACTTTTTTAAGGCGTTATTTTTCTAAAGACTTTATAAGGCGTGATATTTTTAAAGAATTTTTTTTTCAAGAACCTACAATAAGGCGTGGATTTTTTAAAGTTTTTTTCCAGGGCCTACAATAAGACGTGATTTTTTTTAAAGAGTTTTTTCTCAAAGACTGATGGAAGCATAAGAATTTATTTTTGGATTTTTCAAGAGTATTTTTTCTTGAAAGAACGTAGATTTTTCTAGCCTTCACCACACTGTGTTACAGGGTATTATGTCTTCGTGCATATGTTTGTAACAGGCAAAAGGAAACGAGATAGACACATGGTTCTTTTTGAGAATATGTATTGAATCACTTTCTAAGTCGATTTATGCATGTCCGTCCATGCGTCCGTCCGTCTATCCATGTTTAATTGTAAACAAAGTACAGGTCGCATTTATAATCCGAATTGGATGAAATTTGGCACAGCTCATTTATTTGGCCCAAGGACGAACTCTATTGAAATTGGGAAAAATCGGTTCAGATTTAGATATAGCTTCCATATATATTTTCGTCCGATTTAAGATTAATGGTGCACCAATGTCCCTATATACCTTCCGATTTGCACGAAATTTGGCACAGCGTACTAAATTGAGCCCAGAATGATGTGTGCTAAGTTTCGTGAAAATCGGTCCAGATTTAGATATAGCTCCCATATATATTTTCGTCCGATTTAAGGTAAATGGTGCACCAATGTCCCTATATACCTTCCGATTTGCACGAAATTTGGCACAGTGTAGTGAAATAAGCCTAGAAAGATGTGTGCTAAATTTCGGTTCAGATTTAGATATAGCTCCCATATGCTCCGATTTAATGTAAATGGTGTACCAAAGTCCACATATATCTTTCTTACTGAACTTAGTGTAACCTAGAAGTTAAATATAAGTGCTGCACCAAACTCCCCAGGTGTGTCCAATTGGCACAAAAATTTGCCCAACAAATTCAAGTTATTATAAGATAACGGGTGGCAAGTTTTGTTCAAATCGGTTCAGATTTAGATATAGTTCCTATATATAATTTCGTCCGATTTTAAGTAAAAGTTGCACCACAGACCCAGAGTTAGGCCTATTGACACAACATTTTGCAAAACGTACTGAAGTTTATATTGTGGAAAATTTTATTGAAATCGGTTTAAATTTGGATAGAGCTACCATACATATTTTCTCCCGGTTTTAAGTAAATGATGCACCAAAAACTCAAAATGTGGCAGATATTCTGTGACAAGTTTCGATATTTTCGTTCGATTTTAAGTAAATGGTACACCAAATTCCTTATGTTTGTCAGATATGTATCCAAATAATCAACGGGTGTCCGATTGATATTTGCTTTAAATTTATTTACATAAGATTTACATTGTAAGAAGCAACTCTATATCTGACCAAATGAAAAATTTAGTAAAGGTTGAAAGACATGTTTATGGTGTTTCATTTTACTGGTCCTTCAAAAATGCGACATCTGTTGAATATACCATTTTATTTATTCTGATCTACATATTATATCCGTCTATGCTAGCATTTTTTATTTGCATTCACGTTTTATTTTTTTCTCTCTGTTCCTCCGATTTTGGGTGGCATTTCAGTTCACTTGATAATTTCGTGGTATTGACACCTACACTCGCCGCAATGGTGGCATGCCTCACTGCTGCTGTTACAACATACGAGTATAACGACACCAATCAAAATCAACAATTGACTTTTATTCAATTACAACGACTATATCGACTTCTGTGGCCACGTTGAACCGGCAGACCACCACCGACTATTAAACCTTGTTAGGTTTATCAGTGGCTGTTTTTTGTTCGATTTTGCCGTACCTCCAACTGCCTACCTACCTACACCATTAACAGCTATCTATCTGACTACCACCAGCACCATGGAATCACTTATGTATGTATGAATGCTCGTGTGTTTTGCTGACTTCATCGGGGGAGAGTTGGATTGTTGGTTTTTGTGTTGTTGTTGTTACTTCGAAATAAATTTAATCAGAGAAATAATTTAAATATTTTCCGATTAAACTGTGTTGTGCAACTTAACAGACGTCTACATTTCTTTTAATTCGAATATATATATATATATCGAATAACGTTTTAGGGTTGCCATACCTCCGAACAAAATATTTTTTCTTTGAAGGACATATCCAAAATTTCTCAATTTTCAGATATCTCTTTTAAATCCAATCGCGAAAAAATCTCTTTTTCAATACTCATATTGTATTTTGTTATTTGGCAACCCTCGAAATTTTAAACTTCACATGAAATAGTAATTCTAGG